CATACATTAGTATCATTGAGGCTGCTATGGCTTACCTCCCATTTAGTGATTGCTGTTTTTCTGGTTTTCATGCTGACCAGTTTGCTTTAGCCCTGGTTCACACTGTTGCGATCCGCAGCATTTTCAGTGCGAATTCCGCACCGCATCAGAATTGCACCCCGTTCATGCGAACCATGTGTATGTTAAGTTAACAACACCCCGAAAGCAGTCCCCAAAACGCGGTGCGATGTGCAGAATCAGATCGCATAGGTGTGAATACCTACGTGATCCCATTCTAGTGCGGACCCAAAAAAGGGTCTTGCATGTTTTCGGTGCAGGTATGGTGCAATTAGAGCCATACAAAATGTATGGCTCCAATCGCACCGCACAAATTTCGCATGTGATTTGCACAGGAATCCTGTGCGAATCATAAAAGATATACTGCACCTCATATATGTGAACCCAGGCTTAAAACAGCCAGGAAGCTTGCAGAAGGAAATCAGCAATAACAGTGTAGCATGTGACATGTTAGGGGTGCCTTGATTTTAATTAAGGTCAAATGGACCTTTACAATCAGGGCTTGATTTATTTACAAATGGGGATATGCATGGAAGATAAACTCTAACTAAAGGGAAAAGTTAGGGAACATAGGTGGTGTGAAGGATGAGAAGTGAGGATCATATTACCAACCTGATTTATTAATTTGTATTTCAAAACCATAAAACGCAGGGACTCTATCCATCTTTGAACCAAATTCCATTGGAAGTTTTGAGCAAATAGCATCCTTGATCCTTAATTTCATAACATTTTTACTACTTTTTCCATTCTGACAGACTTTCTTTTATCACAATACTCTAATAGAGCAAACCATTTGTATGTCTTGATATGCTTTCAAATTAATATACTTTTGATACATAAATGTATACACTATTTGATGAATTTTAGATGCAGGTCCTAAACCATATAGGGAATATACAGTATATTTCCTCAGCAACATAAGGCCCTTTACCTCAAGGAATTCGTTTTTGTACAGTTGTGTTTTTAATGCTGTAATTTTTTCCCCCTGAGTGCTTTTGAGGTTAGTTGTTTGGTGCAGATGTTTTGTATGATGTGTTGTTTTTAGATACGGTATACGTTTGTATCGATAAAGAAGTCTACTCAATTTTGGGTATATATTGTATGTGTAAAAGATTCAATTTTGTTCCTGCTGTTTCTTATTTATAGCAGAGCTCCAGTCCCCAGAATAATTTTTTTTTAAAAGCAGACCCAGGATTGCCTTTTCTTTAACATTAGAAATTGGATAAAGTTATTAGTTATAGTCTTTTAATTACATTTAAATATGTTAAAGTTTAACTTGATCTGGGAAGCAGGCAGGCGCCATGATGGCAGTGGGCATCTGAAGCCCGCAAGTCTTTACTTCCTGGAGTTGTTGCTGCTGCTATCCCAGCATGCACCACTCGATCTTTCACCTCCACAGTACTGACACTGCTCGGTGCTACTTGTATACACACACTCTGCATGTCCAGCTAACATAGAACAGCACAGAACTTACACTTTTTCCCCACACAGGACTCCAGTAAAATGGCGCCAAACCCCTCCCATTCACGTCATTTCCGGTTTTGAAGTACTGCGATAGTCAGTCACTAGAAACCCAAAGGACTTCTGGGATACAGGACCAGACATCCCAGGAGACTTTGCGATTCACCTTAACACGTCATCGCCTAGGCAGCATGGACCAGAAGTGCAGTCCTGCAACTTGATTTTAAGGTATTTATAATATGAAAAAAAAAGTTTATCCAAATTGTGCTGTACAACACAGGAACAATGTAAACAGAAACACTTTAAAAAATGGGTGGAACTCTGCTTTACGTTTACCTGGCATGACCTGTTAAAATTGATATTATTTCTTATCCATTTATGTGATTTATGTGACTTTTCTGGAGGATATCAAACTAGACAGGGATAGTTATACTTTGCTCTCAGCAGAATGGCAGCACCAAACAGGTGTGACTTTATAAATACCCCAACAGATCATATTATAGAATTATCCAAGTGGTTTTCCATCTGAAGGTCAGAAGGTGACACAGTTTAGCCAGGGTTTCATAGCTGTTTTGTGACCTCTATATACATTAATATACTGCTCAAAAAAATTAAAGGTACACTTTGAAAAACATCAGATCTCAATAGGGAAAAAATATCATGCTGGATATTTATACTGACTGGGTAATGTGTTAGGAACATAAGGATGCCCCATCGTTTGATGGAAATTAAAATTATCAATCTGCAGAGGACTGAATTCAAAGTCACCCCGAAAATCAAAGTGAAAATATGATGCAGTAGGCTAGTCCATTTTGCTGAAATTTCATTGCAGAAACTCAAAATGGTATTCAGTAGTTTGTATGGCCCCCAAATGCTTGTTTGCATGCCTGACAATGTTGGGGCATGCTCCTAATGAGATGACGGATGGTGTACTGGGGTATTTCCTCCCAGATCTGGACCAGGGCATCACTGAGCTCCTGGACAGTCTGAGGTGCAACCTGGCAGCATTGGATGGACCGAAACATGATATCTCATAGGTGTTCTATTGGATTTAGGTCAGGAGAATGTGCGGCCATTCAATGGTATCAATTCCTTCATCCTCCAGGATCTGCCTGCATACTCTCACCACATGAGGCCAGGCATTGTCATGCATCAGGAGAAATCCAGGACCCACTGCACCAGCGTAGGATCTAACAATGGGTCCAAGGATTTCACCCCGATACCTAATGGCAGTCAGGGTGCCATTGTCTAGCCTGTAGAGGTCTGTGCACCCCTCCATGGATATGCCTCCCCAGACCCTCACTGACCCACCACCAAAACGGTCATGCTGAATGATGTTACAGGCAGCATAATATTCTCCACAGCTTCTCCAGACCCTTTCACATCTGTCACATGTGCTCAGGGAACCTGCTCTTATCTGTGAAAAATACAGGGCACCAGTGGCGGACATGCCAATTCTCGTGATCAATGGCAAATGCCAATCAAGCTCTATGGTGCCGGCCAGTCAGCACAGGGTCCACTAGAGGACGTTGGGCCCTCAAGACACCAAGTCTGTTTCTGATTTACCAGAGACATTCACACCAGTGGCCTGCTGGAAGTAATTTTGTAGGGCTCTGGCAGTGCTCATCCTGTTCCTCCTTGCACAAAGGAGCAGATACTGACCTGCTGATGGGGTAAGTACTTTCTATGGCCTTGTCCAGCTCTCCTAGAGTAACTGCTTTTCTCCTGGAGTCTTCTCTATGCTTCTGAGACTGTGCTGGGAGACAGCAAACCTTCTGGCAATGGCATGCATTCATGTGCTATCCTGGAGGAGTGGGACTGCCTGTGCAACCTCTGTAGGGCGTCAGGTATCACCTCATGCTACCAGTAGTGACACTATTGCCAAATGCAGAACTAGTGAAAAACAATCACAAAAGATGAGTAGGGAAAAAATGTCAGTGACCTTCACTTTTAAAACCATTTCTGTTTTGGGGGTCATCTAATCAAGTGCACCTGTTAATTTCATTAACACCAAAGCAACTGAAACAGATTAACAACCTCCTCTGCTACTTAACTGTGCAGATCAATATCCTAGGAGTTAAATTGACTTGATTCTATACTGTGAATAAAAAATTTTTGAGCAATGTACAAAGCTACATCTTTCAAAAGGAAAAGCTGCATACAAATAATTTTTCCAGCTCTAACAGGCAGCCTCACTGTTTTTGGTAGGAAAGTTTGTGAGTTCATGAGTACTAATTTATCCTACAGAATGAGTACAATGTGATACATACCTTCTGTTTTGACCAATTGTCTTACAAAAACACAAAAAAAACCCCAGAAAAATAATATGTACTGTATGTAACATCACAATGTTAAAACAAATCAATAATAGCACCGTGCATAATTCTATTTCATCCTAACTTTTTGTAACATATGGAAATATGTATCTAGAGTTCGTCCTTTCCGAAAGGGTTCACATGATGGGAAATATGTAATTTTTCACAGAATTTAACAATTCCCTTTCTTGAGGGTGCTATCAATTGATTTAAAGCTTCATAATTTTCAAATAATGCCATCATTTCCAGTATCTGCTGGCTAGTGATGGCATTGATGTTCAAGTCGAACATATGTTCAACTCGAACATCGGCCATTTGTGCGTTCAGCAAACACGCGAACAGTAAGGGAGTTCGGCGGCTGTTCCCTCGCCGTGCCCCACAATGCACTGCGCTCTAACAGTGCATTGTGTGTGGGCAGGTCAGGTGCAATGCTTTGGCCAATCACAGCACAATTGGATGAAGCTAGCAGTGATGTCACTGCTAGCTCAGCCCAATTGTTTTACATCTGACTTGCAAATGTCTGATACCGATAAGTGCTCAGCGGGTGCTGATGGGGGTCTGCTGGTCTTGGGGGGGGGGGTTCGTTTCATGCTGAACACTGTGATTGTTGATGGATTACAATTATGGAACCTTTTTTTTTGGCTTTTTTTTAATTAACCTCCCTGTTGGTATGATTATTTCAGATTTTTGGTACTGAAAGCGGTACCATTATTTTGCATGGAAATTTGGTGTTTTATATTGTAGGCCTGTAATTCTTAGGAATAACTCACTGAAATCTGTCCGAACAAGAGTCTAGTAAACATCCCAGGTAGGATAAAACTTGAAACACGAAATCATAAATTATAATTTAATAAATAATCATGAAAAAAATAATATAATAATAATAAATTTAATTCAATAATATAATCAAACCAAAAACACTGAAATTTGAAATATAGCGCCAAGTTCGCACATCACTGAGCAAAATCACAAAATTGTTTTCAGTGTCTAATGACGAATTTCCCCACGAATCATTATCACTCAATTCTGCAAGTGGTTCTGATTTACTATCGCTGTTCTCTAGCTGGTCTAAAACCGCTTTTGACCTAAAAGGGATGCTTTTTGGATGCCATGGACGTTTCTCAGTTTCCAGGCAATAAGAACAGTAAAAATGCAGGCAGGGCACAGGACAAAGCACTAGGGACAAAATGTATGTGAAATGGTTTGATACAGTAATGTTTTACTATGTGATTTTAGTGATTTTAGTGAATATTTTTGTCATTTTCAAATTTCCCGCCGTTCCGTCTCCCGTACGTCCCAACGCTCGCAGGGGACGGAACCCAGAAGACAGATGCCGTCATCCACCGGATTACATTGCCGAGGACACTGCAGGAGGGACATCGTGGGAGCGCAGGACAAGGTAAGTGCACAAGGGATCCTGGAGCAGCGCCGCATGGTGTTCCCGAGTGTAGCTCGGGGTTACCGCTTGTGGTACTGAAACTTTACCCTGAGCTACACTCGGGAATACCGCCAGGGAGGTTAAAAAACTGTTGTTGTATTTTTAGTCATATTTTACATTTTTTGGTGAATGGGTAAGGGTACTATGTATCCCATACTCATTCACAAGGGGGGGCTGGGATCTGGGGGCCCCCTTGTTAAAGGGGGCTTTCAGATACCATTAAGTCACCCCCTGCAGGCCGTCCACAACCACAGCCCAGGGTTGTGGGGAAGAGGCCCTTGTCCCCATCAACATGGGGACAAGGTGCTTTAGGGGGGGAGCCTTCCCTACCCCAAAGCAACGCCCCATGTTGAGGGCATGTGGCCTGGTACAGTTCAGGAGGGAGGGCGCTCACTCATTCCCCCCTTTCCTGCCCTGCCAGGCCTATGCTCGGATCAAGGGTCTGGCAAGAATTTAGGGGGGACCCATTATTATTATTATACAGGATTTATATAGCGCCAGCAGTTTCCTCAGTGCTTTACAATATAAAGGGAGACAATACAGTTCAATACAAGAGGGCTAGGAGGGCCCTGCTCCTTGGAGCTTACAATCTAAGAGGGAGGGGCTGGTGGTACAAAAGGTAATAACTGTGGGGGATGAACTGATATGAGGAATAGAAGATTCCGTTATTAGCTGAAGGCGGGATAGGCTTCCCTGAAGAGATATGTTTTCAGAGATCACCTAAAAGTGGGCAGAGTAGGTGATAGTCAGAGAGATTGGGGTACAGCATTCCAGAGGATGGGGGAGGCTCTGGAGAAGTCCTGGAGACAAGCATTGGAGGAAGAGACCTGGGAGCTAGAGAGCAGGAGGTCGTGCGAAGAGCGAAGAGGACGGTTTGGGTGATAGTAGGAGACAAGATTGGTGAAGCTTTTTTCCAACATTTTTGGGGGGATGGGGTTCCCCTTCAAAGTCCGACCAGGTCTAAAGGGCCTGGCATGGCTTTTAGGGGAAACCCCACTCACTTTTTTTTTTTTTTTTTTAGTTTTACTGGGGGGTCCCTCCTAACCTTCCAACCAGACCTAAAGGACAATGAATGCATATATTTCCACTTTGAAGTTATTTCATACATTTTCCAAAAGAGTTACAAATTACTTTGCAGATTGATACATTTATTATTCGAACCAGCAGGAATCATATGTTTCATGCATGAAACAACAGCAGGTCAATCCAAACAACCTTTTTGTAGTTATTTCTCTCATTTAATTCTGTTATTGTCATACGTTGTACTGTGTTTTCTGTTTGTCCTTGGTTTGTTCAGATGTTAAATGCAAAAGGATTGTACCTGCAGAGATGGGGTCTAAAGCAATTTATTTTAGACCAGGGCACATTTCTTGCTTCTGCAATATGACTTGAAGACTTATGGGGACAAAATATCTTATTTCAATAACCTTAACTCAGATTGTGTTGAACTGCATATAGGACATTTTTTATGTTTGGGTCTCCATTTTAATTGCACATTTCTGATTTGTTTAACTTACCAAAAGGAAGGTCTTATCAATAAAATATTGTTTGGTTAAATAAGATCATATTTCAGAAACTATGCAAATTTATATGGCTTAATCACTTAAATCCCATATAAGTTTTAACATACTAATGTTAAAGGTGTTTCCTGCTATTGGATGACAACACTATTTCCCTGTCTCTCAGTTGTTCTCCTTTGTTGTCACTCTGACTGTTTCAACATGCATTACACAGGCATAGTCCACTGTTGTTATCATAAGTAAACTATCCTAAGAAATGCCATGCAAAAATTTCTGGACTATGACTGAAGACTGAAAGTGACTGCAAAGAGACTACAGTATATCAGCAGCACCAAAATTCAAAGGATGAAAGCAAAGTATGAAAAAAAAAAAAAAAATAATAATTTGTTTATGAAATGCAATGCTTTAACAAACTAAATGCCATTTAGGGTGAGCATCTGCTTTACTTTATGGAGTCTATATATTAAGCATATATATGGAAGAATCACCTGTAAAAAATGTTTGCTAAAGGTTAGACCAGGGCTCAAAATTTCAAGTCCTGATCTACTAGCCAGGCCTTAAAAGAGTTACTCACCACCAGTTGCCCCACCCAACCCCTACCTTGCCCCGCCACTAATTCAATCCCTTAAACATGCCCTTGTAAATATCTCATGAACCAAGACAAGATCTTCAAAACAGTCCTTCAACCAATTTCTTCACTCCAACGATCTTTTCAACATCTGGAGATGCCAACATAGTACAGAGAAGGACTATACCAACTATTCTCCATCCCACTTATCCTATTCCAGAATCGACTTCTTCATCACCGATAAGTGGACTTTACAACACATCACCTCCTCCAAGATTGGTACCATCACTTGGTCAGACCATGCTCCGATCACTATTTCCCTTGACAGCAAACAACATTTGTCAATACTCCGATTATGGCGATTGAACTCGATCTTGCCTGTAGCTAGTATGAAGTGATCAGATATGAGATGTGCTCTGATCCCCCTCATCTTATCAATGTCAAAGGGAGGTGACACCTGGGCTGGACCACGCTGTGATGTGCCATACATAGCCGGTGGGGCACAGAAAGGGTTAAATCCCAGGAATGAGAACATGAGTGACATCAGAAGGGGTGGGTATGGGTGTCCCTGGATGCTGGCTGTAGTGGGAGGATCTATGAATCACCTGAGTTGGGATGAGTGACTGATCATTGCCTGAGGAGGAGGTGAATGGAAAATCCTGCACTGTCCACTGCCTGGATGAAGAAGTATCTGACGGGAGGCTGATGAAGGCATCCAGCCCAGGACCTCACACCAGTCTCTGCTCTGGGCTCAGCCCTGGCACACACAGCCAACACACATAGGGCCAGGGGGGAGCAGGAGGAGCAGGGGCCCTGGAGAGACTGACAGACCAAAGTTTGTCATGTGTGCCCTGTGCTCTGCCCAACTCCGCCCGCCAAGTATTCAGGGAGGATGCCGGAGGATCTGGACACTTCTGATTGGTGCTCTGTGGAGGGCACAGTCTGCAAAGATCCCACTAACTGGCGGAATAGAATGTTCGTCCATCAGTGCAATGTGTGTGGGACACACTTGCCTCTATGTTATTTCCACTCGCCAAATGCGAGCAGGCGACCAAAAATTTTGAGCCCTGGGTTAGACTATTGCGTTGCAGCAACATGTGACAACCCACACTACTTGTGTGGCATTGCAATTAATTTTGAACAGCGCCCAAATGCATAGCGTGTTGTGATGATGTGTTGTGTTACACATTTTAGGGCACAACCAATTTTTAGGTTGTTTAGGGTGTGTTGGCAGTCAATTAATTTCAATGGGCTGCTTTAACACAATGCACATTGATGTGTGACATAATGCTAATTCATGTGCCCCAAGTCTACTGTGTTCATTGTAGGATTCTGCATTCCTTTGAACTGATCATTTTGCATGTGTGCATTCGTCACATGTTTACATAAAGCTACATGAGTAAGCTGGCTGTGCTTTTGACCCAAACAGGTAAGGCACATGCACTCCTATTGGGGCATCTCTTCTTACACTAAATAACACTGTCAATCTGTCATATTACAAATAAATGTAGATATCCTTAAACATTTGTCTATGCATTACCAAAATGTACCCCTAAGCTTCCCTTTTTATATCTAATGCCCAGCATTATGTCCCTTTCTTCAACTTTGTTTCTTAAGCCACAAAACAAGTTTTATTACTCTTAATGAAAAAAAGTGTAATATCCACTCACATAAAGTAAGGGATAACAGGAAAAAAATAATTCCCACTGCTCTGCAGCAAGTGCAATAGGCAGCAGTCCCAGATTTTCAATATGCCAGTAATCTGTCAAAAGCCAGCACTGGAACTGATAGTTTTTGCATCTTATTATAAGCCAGTTTACATATCAGACAAGCAACAAAGAAATATGTGTGAGATTCACGTGTTTCAAGTATGCAACCAGTCTAACAAGGTTAACTCAAGGATTAAGTTTCAAGGCTTCTTAAGCTACCAATTCTAGCTACGTTACAAATTTTTGTACCTGGGATTTTTTCAAATTAAAGGCTAAATCAAACATTTTTTAATACAAGGATACTGTCGTTATTTTTTTTGGGCCTTTTTAAATCCCTTTTTTTTTTAAAAGGGATGTTTGGGAAAATAAAAATTTTTTTCCCCCTTTTTAAAGTTAAGAAAGTTATTTAACCCAAAAAACCCCAAAATTGCTTTTTCCCCCTTTTTTTAAAATACATAAAATTTTTAAAGGTTTTTACAATATAAAAAAAAAAATGTTCCCCAAATTTTAAATTTTTTTCCCACTGCCCGGAACTTTTCAAATAGGAAAATTTTTTACTCCCTTGCGCATCAAAAAACCCCCCCTTTGGCAGTTTTAAAGGGGGGTGTTTTATCCTTAACAAATTTCCCTTTTTTGTACAACTGTTTCCAGAAAATACATAAAAAAGGGTTTTTAAAAAAACAATTGCCATAGAAATAAAAATTTTTAATAAAAGATGAGCCATCCCATAAAAAAGGCGAAGCAAAAAGCAAGAAAAAAGGGTTAAATAAAATTTTGGTCTAAAAAATTTTTTTTTTGGTTTAAAAATTTAAAAAGTTAATTTGGGCCTTTTTTTTCCCAAAAAAAAAACAATATGAAATTTTGCGAACCCCTACCAAATGGTTAAGAAAAAGTTTAATTAAAATGGCAAAAAATTAAAAAAACAAAATTTTTTTGGATTTTAAAAAAAACAAAAAAGAAAAGTTTGGAAAGCCCCCCCGGAAATAAAAAAAAACTTTTAAAAAAGAAATCCCAAGATTTAAAAGCAATCGCCCCTTTTTGGGGGTGGGGGGGGGCTACCCGGGCTACCCGTTTCAAAGGGGCAAACCCCCTTTACAAAAAAACATTCGCTTCTTTCCCAAAAGGTTAAAAAAAATAAAACAGG